GACGGCCACGGTGAGCTCACGGGCGCCTCCCCGGCCCTGGCGGCACCCCCGGGCGCTGCCCCGCGCCGGCGGGGTGCGCCCTACCCGGAAGCCCTGCCGCTCCAGACCTGCAGGCCGGGTCTGCGCCGGACTCCGAGGTGGGCCCTCCGGGCACGGAGACCCCGGCTGGCCCTGTGGCCCATCCTCCCACTTTGGCAGGTCCTGAGCCCCGGGCTCCCTCCCACTGGCCAGGTGGCCTGTGTGGCTCGGGCCTGTTTTGCCCTCTGACCCCTGAAGTCTCAGCCCGAGACAGGTGGCTCAGGGAGCTGCTGGCGAGAAGGCCCAGGAGACACAGCCAGGATGGGGAGACTGCCTGGCCTTGCCGTGGACCCCTCCGCCAAGTGCCCTGGAGGCGGAGGCGCCTGCTCCTTCCTCTTCCCTCGGAGCTCCTCAGACAGGAAGGCGCTACCCATTCGGGAACCCTAAGCCTTGTCGGGTTAATTGCTGTATGACCCTCAGCAGGTGGACTAGGGCTGCCTGCAACACAGGTAGCCCCAGTAGCCACAAAAGGACCACGTGGATAGCTTGAATCCTGCTGAGGGTCATGAGTGATGGTCCTGCCTGGAGTACTCACGGCCCTGGAGAGATGTAGACAAGCAGGGGACAGGGTGGATACTGTTTTGCTATGGGTTGAGTAGTGGTCAGGGGCAGGAGCTTTCTCCCAGCCACAAGGTCTCAGGACTAGTTCTGGAGGGACTGAGGTCCCAGGTTCTGAGGCATTCAAGCACAAACTCAACCAATACCCTTCTCAGGAGTATGCCTTCAGCCTTTGAGCGGTTGGTCCGGAGCGTGGTCCGGGAGCTGGACCACAGCAGGGAGCTCATCCCAGTGGACAGTCTTCAGAGCTCCACCAGCTACCAGCCTTACAGACTGCTGAGCAGGAAGTCCCCAAGCTCCTGGTTCTGGAGACCTCGTTATACCTGTGTCAACCTGTCAATCAAGGACATTTTGGAGCCTGATGCCCCAGAACCAGGTATCCAGGGAGAAGAAAGGAGTGGCCTGGCCACACCTGCCACCTGCTAGGCTCACCAGCTCTGGGCCTCTGGCCCTGTTTGCAGAGGGTTGGCCTTTTCAAAGGTCCCACTGCCTGCGGGTGGGACAGGACAGTAGCAGGTGGGACAGGCCCCATGCTCAGGTCTGGTCTTGCTTCAGAGTTGGAGCGTAGTGGCCCTTTCCACTTCTATGACGCTGTGGACGGCCAGCTGCAGGGCAGTGTGGAGCTGGGAGCCCTGGGACAAGGGAAGATCTCAGGTGGAGCTGCAGTGTCCGGCAGCTCCAGTGCTTCCATGAACGTGTGCACGCTGCGTGTGGACCCAAACACTTGGGAGATCATGCAACAGGAGAGGTGAGCTCTGGAGGGACTGAGGTCCCTGACCCTGTGCAGCCACACATATGGGGAGGCCACTGGGTCATGGACATCAGGAGAATCCCAAGGCCATGCCTGTGTGCCAGCAAGGAGAGTCTAAGATGCAAGGGAGCGCTGTGGCCATGGTGGGCTGCCAGGGAAGGAGGCGGCACAGTCACCCAGACCTCAGTTGCAAGGACATATCATGAAGGCAGGGACCTGGGGATCAAACTGAGCCTCAGGCTCAGTGTAGAGGAGAGTAAAGGCTAGCGGGTGCCCCGGGGTCCCATGGGTCCACTTCTCCCTGCTGGACCTCATCCCTCCTCTTCACACCCACCTAGACACTGTTGGGAGTACCCAGGAAGGGTACCCATGCCTGGCATCTGCAGACTCCCAGATGCCCTTGCCACTTCACCCCACCCATCGTGGGGCAGTGGGGAGGCCAGTCTGTGGTGGACATACCCCAGTGAGCTTCCTGCAGGCGCCTGCGGCAGCCCGAACACAAGATCCTGGAGCAGCTGAGGAATCGCAGGGACAATGTGTATGTGGTGACGGAGGTGCTACAGACCCAGGAAGAGGTGAAGGTCACCCAAACCCGCAAGAAGGAGGGCTCGGGCCAGTTTGCACTGCCTGGAAACATGTGCCTTCAGGTGTGTGGCCGGCCCTCAGCCCATCTTGGCCTGACATGAACGCAGGGTGGCAGCAGGCGAGGTTTTGCCAAGAGCCCTGCAGGAGCAGTTCACAGCCCCACGCTTGACCCAGGGCTCCCCAAAGCCTGGGTTGGCTGACACCAGTAGCAAGCTTGTTACTAGCACCCAGCCCACACCACACCCCACGTCCCCACACCTAGGGCCCAGTCCTGCTATGTCTATTCGTCCCTCAGGGTGAGAGCCAGGGCCACCTGAGCCGGAAGAATACGGTCACCGTCCCTGCAGGCAGCACCCTTGCATTTCGAGTGGCCCAACTCATCATTGGCTCTGACTGGGGTCAGTAGAGCTGGGGATGTCTCTGGGGCCCAGACGCCATGGAGAGGTGGAAGGCCTTGGGAGGGCCACCAGCTGCCTAGGGGCTGCTGCAGGCATCTGCTGCTCAACCTCCCAGGGCTCTGGTGTGTGGAAGACTGAGGCAAGGCCTCACCTGGGGAGGGGGCCTGTGCAGGAGGGGATCCTGGTGACCTCCTTCCCCTCTCTGCTCCCACCCATCGCCAGACATACTCTTCTTCCCGGATGAGAAGCAGAGGACCTTCCCACGGTCCCCCAAAGGTGAGCCCTGCCTGTCCAAAGGGAGAACCCTTCCTTTGCTATTAAGGCCTTCTCCTGTGTTCAGGACCCGTGGTGCTGGACAGCCTCCCCAAAGGACAGGCTCCTCGTATGCACACACAGGGGTCACATCCAGGTGTCACGGCCCTCTGTGGTCTCACACCTGCTCTGGGCTGCCAGCGTTGGGGATGGGGCCAGGGAGGAAGGCCTCAGCCCTCTTCGGCTCAGGGACCTACTCTGGCACTAAGCCATGCTGTCCTCCCTCCCCTGTCCTCACACCTCTGCCCAGGCCACAAACCTCCCCGAGGGGCAGGCAGCTCACTGAAGCAAGCCTTCAGACTCTCCTCCATGTTAGAGTCCATCCACGACCGCCTCAAGTTCCTGTCAGGTTTGTGAACTTTTGATACCTCTTGGACCCCTGTGGGCTCTCCTTCTGCTCCTGGGGTGTGCCCTTCCTGTCCAGGGCTCTCCAGGGCTCTCTGTCCCCATAGATGGGCCACTTGAAGAGCTGGTTGTCACTGAAGACTTCCAGGGCCTGCAGGCAGAGGTGCAGGCTGGCTCTGAGGAACTGGAGCACATGGAAAAGAACCTGAGACAGCAGCTGCTGGGGGCCCTGGGGAGGATCCTCAAGGACCCGCTGGCCCTGCAAGCTTTAGAGTCCTCAGTAAGTGGGGCTGTGTGGGGGTGGAAGGGTCTGCCCAGCCAGCTCAGGCTCATGCACCCTGTCTGTGCCCCAGCTGGAGCAGGGCCTATGCTATGGCGGGCAAGTGGAGCAGCTGGATGGCCCGGCAGGTGCTGTCCTCGAGTGCCTGGTGCTCCCCTCCAGGACGCCTGTGCCAGAACTTGCCGCCCCTGTCTTCTACTTGTTGGGGGCGCTGACGGGTGAGTGACCTCTGGGGAGTAGATGTGGGACAGAGGGAAGGACTAGGTTCCCCACTAGGCCTCCCTGAGCCCCCTCTCAGACCATGTCTCTCCCCAGTGCTGAGTGAAACGCAGCGTGAGCTGCTGGCTGACTTGCTGGAGACAGGGACCCTGTTGGAGCAGCTCAAGCTGGTGAGAGGGCACAGCATGGGGGCTGGAATGGGCCCTGGGACACCTGTAAGGGCAGAGCATGCCCAGGGACTCAGGACTAGCTCTTCCACCCATAACCTCCTACCCTCCTGCAGGTGGAGCACCTCTTGCAGCAGAGCACCCCATGGCAGGAGCAGAAGGCTGTGTCCTTGCCCCCTGGGCTCCTTGGGAGTAGCTGGGGCAAGGAGGCCCCAGGGTGGACCCTGCTGGAGGAATGTGGCCTGGTGCTGCAGGTGGGCGCCCCCCATGTGTGCTGGGAACCTCAGGCCCAGGGCCCCACGTGTGCGCTCTATGCCTCCCTGACCCTGCTGTCAGGGCTACATGAGGAGCCCCGTTAACCTGCACGCTGGGCAGCTCTCCAGCCAGGCACCCCCCTGCCAGCCCTAGGAAGGCTGAAAGCCCATTTAACTACAGGGCCAGCTCACTCAGAGGCCCAGGAGTTGGGAAAACTCAATAAATATGATGTACAAAGGAAAGAATGGTAACAGTTCTGTTTTTGAGGGTCCTGAGTCCTCAAAAAGATGGGTAGGATGGGGACCATGCCCAAACAGGACCAGAAGGCACATGTGGGCCAAATGCAGGTACCCCCCATGGTCTTGCTCCTGCCAGGGGAGGAGTTTGGACATGGCCACATCCCCAGCCTCCCCAGCCTGCTTGGTTGCCTGTGAAAGGAAAGCAGAGGAGTTTAGGGGAGTCAGTTCCACAGGGTGGTCTGTTCCTGAGGCACAGGGAATGGCTGCCTGGCTTTAGGGAACTTGGGGTACCTTGCTGACAGGAGCAGGCCCCTTCTCAGCCCATAGGCTGGGACACAGGGATGCAGCTGTGGCTAAGGCCCAAGAGACCCAGGACTCCTGGGACCACAAGGAAGGTCCTGGAGAGGTCAGGGTGACTTGTCCTAAAGAAACACCTTTGCTCATAGGTAGGAATCTCTGCAGGTCGGAGGCCTCCGAGTCCTCATGTTCAGATCCCTGGGAATTCAGCAGGTCTCAGAGCACAGGCAGGGGATTCTTCCCAGGGGATCAGCAGCCCATGGCATCCATGTCTAGAGTGAAATGTGTGGTTGATGTGGCCAGGTACTATGGGTGCCCCGGGACCTGGGATGCCAGGTGAGTGTCTTTATGGAAGGTCCACAGTCCACAGCACCGCACAGGCTCACTCACACTGGTGGGAGGAGAGGGAGTTGCAGCACCCCTCTGTCCTGGCATATGCATGTTCACATGCACTCGCACGACTTGCTAAGGAGAAAAGAGTAGGTTCTTGCCGCAGTCTGGCTGGGCACACAATCACGAGCCACCACACAGCTTGTAGATTCAAACAGCAACTCTTTATTCCCGAACTCACACCAGCCGTCTACAATCACGTTCTGGGGAAATCCACGTTCTCTGCCCAAATCCCCCTCCACTGGGCTTCTATCTCCAAAAAATACTGTCTGAATCCCGTGAGAACTCAAGGGGAACTCAGGCAGCAGGATACGCCCTATTCCCAGCAGGAATAATCTTAAACCTTAAACCTGGAACCTAAACCGGGAACGCCCTAATCCGCCTTGGTCCTTGAACAAGGTCACCTACATTCAATGTCACTGCAACATGGGGTACGCTGGCAAGGAAATTGTCATGCCTACTTGGCTAATGGCTCCCAGCAGGTTCTGCCATGCTGGGACATTGGACCCCCAAGAAAACCCAATCAGTGCACCTCAAACATCTCCTATCCAGGTTATAGAAACCTAAAACTCAGCCTCCACACAGCAGAGCAGCTCCAGGACTCTTGGGCCCATGGTCCCCCTGTGGAAACCCTGTTCTGGAACTTGAAAGCAAAACCTGGGTGAACGGGATGGGAACGGCCCAGGCCTTGGAAAGCACTGAATAAGCAGGCCTTGCAGCACTGCTCCTGAGGCCCAAAGACCCCCAAGACCAGGTGACAGGTGGTCCTGCCAGCCTACCGAAGCCCCATTTGGAGGGTCCAACAGTTGGCTCTTGGATATGGGACCATTAATGAGGTACATAGCAACAAGACCCGTGTAAGAGCATTTTAACACCAGAGTAAGGCTGGCTAGCCGGGCACGGTGGCACAGGCCTGTGATTCCAGCAACTTGGAGGCTGAGGCAGGGGGATCACAAGTTCCAAGCCAGCCTCAGCAACTTAAGTAGCTGGGGGTGTGGTTCAGTGGTGAAGCACCCCTGAGTTCAACCCCCAGTACCAAAAACAAATAAATAAATACAGCCTGGCTAGCCTCTGGCAGGGCCTTATGTGAAAAGGGGAGAGGGTGTACATGTGTCAGGGTGCAGCTGTCCCCTGGCCCTCTAAGCCCAACCCCCAGGTGGAAGATTAACCACGAGTGGACTTTTCTGTGGGTGCAGGGGATGGGTCCCCTGGAGGGCTGGAGCTGAGGCGTCCTCACAGAGGGCCCAAGCCACCTGGCCACCTGCAGCTTCCCTGGAATTGTAACAAAGTCCCAGGGCGAGTCACACTTCCAGAGGCTCTGGGTACTTCACCTGAACCTCACACCACACCAGGGAGTACGCATGACTGCCAGCTCCTGGGCCAGGGCCATGGCAGACAGGTGGACGCTTGGGCAAGACAGCCGGGCTCCGAGCAGCTTGCAAAGGGGTGTGGGCTGTCCAAGTACCACAGGTAGGGGGGTGGGTGCTGTCTTCTCACCACGGCTGCTTCCCCGTCGGAGCCCCGACCTGAGGGTGGGCTGTGCAGCACCGTAGGGCTTGCCCATGGACACGCTGTGCTCTGGGGTGCAGATGAGCCTGTGCTTGGAGGGAGAGTGTCACATGCCCCTCCTGGGGTCTGTTCCTGGGTTGCAAGGAAGGTGCGGAGGCCAGGCTTGCTTTGGGGGGCACTGTTCCTGAGGGGATCCATTTGGCTTTTGTTCTGACACTCACCCTGTACATGGCTGACCAGCTTGAAAGCTCCTGGAGGCCAGCATGGATGTCCACAGCTCCCACACAGACGCTTTTCCTTCCCTCCCTCTCAGTCACCAGATCTGGCGCCTCCCAGGCTCTCCGGCCTTTCCTTTGACACATCTCTTGCATGTGATCCCTTTCAGCATCTGCTCTGGAGGATCCAAATTGATTCAGTGACCCTCGCCCCTGGGTCTACAAAGACTCACTCACACATTGGCCTGACCCTACAACGCAGCCTGCGAGATTCATCTACAGAGACCCTGAGGCCAGTCCCAAGAGCGCTGGCCCCAGGGCTTCCCTGGGCGGGGCCAGTGGCTCTGCCTGCTCCTTAGCTCTCCTGCTGGCACTCTCAGTCAGACCCACCCCTGTGAGCCGCGTGTTTATTGTCCTATGGGTGGAGTGGAGCCAGGGAGCTGGGGAGAGGGCAGGACCCCATCCCTGTCCCTGAGGGAAAGACACCTGCGTGTGTGAGCCTCGCTGAGGAAGAAGGTTCCCTCAGCCCATAAGGGTAATCCCCCTGTGCTGTCCTCAGGACGGGTCATCAGGGGAGCGTTCCAGAGAAGCCCACTGTCAGGTGGGGTAGGGGTGGGTGGCCCCTGGAGGTGGACAGCAGGTGTGGGCAGGAGGGCAGAGAGGACATAAACCAGGACAGCAATCAGGAATAGGGACAGGGTAAGGAGGGGGTGATGGCTGCTGGCAGGGCTGGTCGGCTGTGGCGGGAGGAAGGCAGAGTCCAGGAAGGGGCAGGACAGCCTGTGGTGTGTGGCTCCATAGTGTCCCTACAGACCCCCATTTAAGAGCCCCTCCAGGCCAGATGCCAAGCCAAAGTTTGGACAGGGCACACTCCAGGGGACTAGGAAAATAGGCCTGGCAGGGGACAGATGCACCCAGGGATTCGAGAGGGAGGAGCTCAGGGTGAAATGGTACCAGCTGTCCCTCTCTGTCACGTGGTGATCTCTGGAGAAGAGTCCCAGAGCAAGGGGATGGCGTCCAGCTCCAGGCCCAGGGTACCCTTTGCAGATCTGCCATCGTGGGGACTGAGGATGGTGTGGGTCAGTGCCCCCGTCAGACGCTGGTCCGAGGGCCCTAGCTTGAGCTCAGTGGGTTCCCGAGCTGCCCCAGCGGCCTGCGAGGCTCCTGCGCTGGAACGGGCTGTCGTCGTAGAGAGGCGCGGGCTGAACCGAGCGGGCGCGACGCCAAGGGAGGCGCAGGAAGCGAGGACCGCGTCGTCGGTCCTGCGAACGGGTCAGCAGCGCCACCTGCTGGGCAGACACGAGCGCCGCCGCGGCCACCGCCGGCTCGGGGTCGCTCCGCAGCTGCCCTAGGTCTGTGCACACACACGGTTCAGGGAGGCAGGGAAGGTCACTCGGGATGCCAGCGTCAGAGCCCTGGCCCTCCAGCATCCCCTGGGTCCTAGCACCCGCCACCCCTTCAGGACCTCACGCTCTGACATGCTGAGTCCTCACCCTGGAACAGCTCCTGGCTGACTCCTCTGGGACTTGCGTGATAAATCAGGAAGCCTGGACCAAAGCAAACCCCGAGTTCCGGCTGCATGTCCCAGAGGGGAGGGGAGGGGAGGGTCCAGTTCATAGAGCCCTGGGTGAGATGGCCTACCCAGGACTACCTTACCTACAAGCACAGTGGCAGCGTGCCGCAGTGGGTCCTGAGGACTCCGCAGATAGCCCTGGGTCTGGCTCAGGAAGCTGGGCAGGTGGTTGGGGTATAGCTGAACCTGGGAACAGAGGGTTTGTTGCAGGAAGGAGGGCCAAAACTGCAGAGGTGAACCTTGGGGTTGGGAGCCCGAGAGCTGGGCCATATGGAGCAAGGTCGTGCACCTGCCCCACCAGGAGCATGAGGGACCACACCCCCTCACCATCACCGTGCTTCCTCTACCTACCAGGCGCCGGCAGACACGGCTTAGAGCCTCAGGACTGTCATAGTGGGCCACAGTGACCATCTCCTCCAGCAGGCCCCAGCGAAGAGCCTGGTCACAGCGGGCCAGCGTCCACTCCGAGCTCTGGCATAGGGAAAGGAAGCAGGCTTAGGGACCCAGGAAGTGGCACGAGGTAGAGGGGAAAGGGTTGTGACCAGGAGCGTTGGAAGAGCCCAAGGCAGGGGATTGAGTACGGCAGCCCAGGGGAAGATTAGGAACCTGGGAGCCCATGAGGGCACTGTGGGTGTCCCTGACCTAACCTGAGGCAACAGCGTGGGAGTAGGGAGACACAATTGGATGAGATAGGGGTGGGACGGAGGGGCAGCTGACCTCAGCAGCGTCCCGACTGGGGTCGTGAAGGCGCAACAGCAGCGGCACGAGACTCTGTAGTATGAGCTTCCGCAGGGGACCGCGGAGCCCCACACGGAGCCCACTCTGGCCCTGTCGCACCAACGTCCCCAGGAGCCCGACAGCCGAGGCGCGGACTGAGTCCCGGGCCTGCATGGGAGGACACAGTCAGGCGGATGGAGAGGGAGAAGGGTTCAAGAGTGAGGGGGTGGTCCGGTGGAGCGAGGAAGGAGAGGCTCTGGGGGTGCTGACTGGGGTGCCTCTGGAGTCAGGGCGGCGGGGAGCGTGCAGAGAGCCTGGGGGAGGGGCGGAGACTGCGGGCGGGACGGGGCCTGAGGGCGGGTTGATGGCGGAGGCGGGGCCTTGCTCACGTCGTCCAGCAGCGGCGGGAGGCGTAGCCCGAGCTCCCGGCTCAGCAGCCGCACCGGAGCTCGCCTTTGCATCAGTAGCCTCCGCAGTGCACCCAGCGCTGCACCCACGAGCCGCGCGTCGCCCTCGCCCAGTGCGCCCAAGAGTGCCGGCAGCAGCGTGCCCACATGCCGCACCTGCAGACACAGGGACTAGTGGCCAACCCCTGGCAGACCTGTCCTGGCCCCGCCCTGACCCTGTCCTCACCTTCCCTTGATTCAGGGCAAGGTGGCCGAGGCCTAGCAGGCCCAGCCAACGCACTGTGGGCTCAGAGTCGCCCCGCCAGGTTCGAAGCCGCTCTAAGACGACGTCCTCCCGCAGTAGCCGTGCGGTGGGCCGGCTTTGCAACAGCTGGGGAAGGGACACACAGTCAGCAAGGCTCTCAGTCCCCGTGCAGGCCGGTGCTCCTTAGGGTTCACGTAACCATCATCCCTCACCGCCCTTCTGGAAGAGGACTCACCCCTGTGAAAAAGGCCATAGCGGTGAGGCGCTGCGGGTCGTTGGCACTGCGTAGCCGGGGAAGCAAATCTGCGAAGAGGCCTCGAAGGTGGTGGTCGGCGTGTGCCACCATGGCACTGAGGGTGGGGTAAATGGGAGGTCTCCCTCCACTTGGGGCCTCACCCACCCTCCTTATACCCCTGCCTTGAACCTGGCCAACAGGAAGCCTCCTCCTGGTGTGCAGTCCTGAGGCCCCTCCTCACCTGGCCAACAGCAGGACACCCTCTAGGTGTGTGTGGGCTCCCACCAGTCTCCTCCAGCCTCCCGCTTGCTCCATGCAGGTGACCACCATGCGACCACCATCCCCGGTGAGCAGGGCCTTCAAGGCCTCCACCGCACAGCTGGAGGTAGGGGCAGCAGTTCAGTGGACAGTGAGGGCCAAGGAGGTGCTGAGCATCCTACTTACCTCAGTGTCTCTCCTCACCTGGCATGGCTGTGTGGAGGCCCTCGGTGGGACGGGGCCCAAACCTTAGGGCTGTCAGGAGAGCGTGCCCCGTGAGCCAGTTCATGTAGCTGTGTGACCAGCGCAAGCAGCAGGTGTGGGTAAAATCCTCGCGTGGCTCCCACACAGCCGGACACTGCCAACATCTCCCCAAGAGCCCGCGTGGCCTGTGGAGCAAGTGGTCCCCCAGGCTTGAGCAGTGCCCAGGACCGTATCAGGTACCAGGGAGGAGGGTGCTCCGCAGACAGGACGAGGACAAAGCCTAGGACACCCATGTGATATTCTGCAAGATATCCGTGACTCAAGTGGGAACCTGTGGGCTGACTCACAGCCAGGGCAGCCAGACTGGCCTCCTGCTGGTGCCGGTGGAGCTACTCACCGCCAGCGCCTCGGGCTCGGGCCCTGCTGCTCCCTTCAGCGCCCACAGCAGTTGCACCAGCACCTGTCCGTTCACGCGCTGGTTCCGGCTGAGGCTGCGCCACAGTTCTGCAGCTGCCCTGGGGGCACAGGGTGACAGGATGTGAGACAAAGATTGGGTGCAGGGCCAGTGCTGAGTGGCTGCGGGAGGTCCTCAGGCTGGGGCCAGGGAGGGGAGAGTAAACCATCCCTTGCCCTCCCAAAGAAACAAAATAAGCCACAACGACTTTGGGGTTGGGATGCACTTTGGAGCACTGTTGGGCATGACAGTGAAACACACCTGGTTCTTTCTATTTACACAATAGCTCATAGAGAATAAAACCAAAGATGATTTCTCCTGGAACAAATTAAACCAATAACTAGAGGCATCCCTGAGCTGAAGCCACTCTGCTTGCTCACCCACCCCAGAGCACAACACCAGGTATTTCGTGGAACAACCCTCGATCCTCAGGAGAGACAAGGTGACCCCATGAAGGACTTCCATCATCTGGGATCCCAAGACAGAAGGGCACTGGGATTTCACAGAATGGTAAGGTGGAATGGATGGAAAGCAGCAGGGGAGGGAATTCCAAGGCTCTGTTCCCTTACAGCCTGCCTATTCCAGAGCCAGATGGCCAAGCAGGAAGGGGGAAGGAAGCTGCGTGGGGCCGCAGGGGAGCATTCGGGTCAGGTTACCGATCTGGAGGCAGCGACCGTGGCAGCAGCGCCCACACCACATCCTGCGCATGCTCCAGGGCCAGTGCGCTCAGTACCCTCAGGGCCGCCCGGCGCGGCCTCCCCTCGGCCAAGCTGGGCACTTGTGCCAGCAGCCCACGCACCAGGGCATGCACCTGGGTGGAGGGGGCAGGTGTCAGTGGCCAGAACTCCACTCTTCACTGAGACCCTCTTGCCAACACCCCACCCCCAACCAGCAGAAACAGCCTGAAGGGGGCATGGGTGCCAGGCTGCAGGCTCCAACACCCCAGTGTGAGTAGGGAGGGAGTGGGGGCTGACCTGCTCTCCCAGTTGTGCCCCATGGGCCTCCAAGGCTGAGGACAGGGTGAGTGCTGTGGCCTGGGTCCCTGCAAAGCCAGCCTCTTCCAAGCAGGCAGCCGTGTAGAGCGCAAGGTCAGAGAGAGCACCCTCCTCCCAGGAACTCTGGAAGGCCTAGGGCAGGGTGGGGGGTGTATGAAGTCTCCAATCCTCTCCCAGCTCTCCTCCCCAGCCTCCAAGCTTGGCTGTGGAACCCTGAGCCCCTGTATTGCTCCTCAGCCCATTTGATCCTGGAGCACCTTCCCCAGTTACAGCACCACTTTCCATCTAGTGTCTGGGTGACCTGGAAGAGGAGCTGTGCTCCCCAGTAGTCCCCACAGTGCCCGATCCCTCAGCACTCACCTGCTGGGGCCCCTCTGGGGCTGGCTCCTGGGCACTGTGTGGGGAGCAGGGCTCACGGCCAGCTCTGGGGTCAGTGGTCCCACTTCCAGGCTCAGCTTCAGAGTCAGTGGGTACCTGGTCCTGCAGCTCAGCCTGAGATCCAAGCTCCTGGGACTCAGGCTGAGGGCCTGTGGAAGGGGGTCCCAGAGGCTGCCTCTGGCCGGACCGTATTCCTTCAGCTAGAGCTGTCAGGGTTAGGGTCCCCATGGGGTGCCCCCAGTCAAGTCCCCACATGCCCCCAGCCATACTACCCGACTGGCAGCACTTGCTACTGCTCCTCCCAGGAAATCCTGTCCAAGCTTGACCTAGAAGCAGGCCCCGGGCGGGCCCACAGACAGGTGTGGTGTGTCGTGGCGCGTGCGTGTATGCATGCATGAGCATGTGCCTGGGGTGGCTGGGGAAACGCCGAGCTGCTTGGCTTGTGAAGGGCTCCCTTGCTGGAGGAGAGCAGCCAGCCTGAAGCCTGGGTGTCTGTCATCTAGCTCTGCCCACCGGGGCCCTAGGAGACCATGGATCCAGAAAGAATAGAGAAGGATCCTTAACCCCAACGTCTGACCCCTCTTGCCAGGGTAGCTGAAGACATCCCTGGTGAGGTCCCAGAAGGGTCGGGCCTGGGCTGGTCTGTTGCATTCCAACCTAGTCAAGCATCTGGGTATAGGCACTGATGGGTGCTGTCACCATCAGAGGTTGGGGAGAGTTTGCTCCCTGCTACGGAGCAGAGGAGATAGGAGAAGTTGCAGCCTCTTGCCCACCACCGTTGGGATGGGCCCTTCTGGGTCCTGGCTAGTTCTGACATAGTGACCCCTGGGCTGGCTCCTAGGAGTACAAGGCTGAGATCACTAGTGCCTTGGGTGCCTGGGTGTCATTTGTGCTACCCAGGGTATGAGTCCATATTTCTCTCCAGGCTCATGCTTCTCAGAACTGGCCTGATAAGGCCTTTGCCCTAAATCCCTACCCTCCATCTTCACCCAATCACACAGTGGGTGCTGCCCAACCCAGAGCCAGGGGAGCCGGATAAGCTGGTCTGGCAGAGTGCCTGGGCAGGTGGCAGTGCTCCCGGAAGAACCCCAGATGGTTCAGCATTCTCCCCATTCCCTCACTGGCCTGTGTACCTCAAGCAGCCGGATGGGAGAGGCCCAGGCCCCGTGCCCTGCTGTCAAGCCTGGAGCACTCCTCCCAAACAGTTTTGAGGTCACCAACCTGCTGAGCAGAGGCAAGACTAGCCCCCACGGAGCTTCAGCTTTGCCCCTCCTCCTTCCCCTTTCCCAGCTGCTGTCAGGAGTTGACGTCCCAAGGCAGAGACCCTGGCTGGTCTGTGACACTTGCTAGGATCATGCAATAGCAGGGGACACCTGGGTTCTCCTTGGCTTGGGAGGCTTGAGACATCCCTACTGCTTCTGAGCCCAGGGACAGTGACCTCAGCAGGTGTGGGAGACAGAGCCATGCTTGGACTGTCTGATGCCCCTCTCCCCCATCTGCCCTCTGGCAGGAAAGGTCTTCCACAGTAACTCCTCCAACTTTGAGGTAGACACCAAAGCCCTCCCTCTCCTGGCCTGAGGCTCCAGCCTCAGCTCTGGTCCAGCCCCTGAGCCTGGGGTGCTCCAGGTGACCTCCACATTCCTGGCTCCAGCCCAGCCCCCAGACCAAGAGACAAGCAGGCTGAATGAATAAATGACACGTGACAAGTTGTAGGGACAATGAAAGATTCATGTTGTTTCCAGGCAGCACTCCCCCCCACCGCCAGGGATTCTCATAGGAGGCCTCCAGCACTCAGACGGTCCACCAGGGCCCGAAGCTTTTCAGAGAGAGCAACCTGTGGGAGACAGGAGGGGGCTGGCAGGTGGAGGGTGGAGGGTGGGGTGTATGTACACAGGGCTGCCCACCCACAGGCCTTCTGCCCACCTGGTACACTGCAGGGCTCTGCAGCCGTCTGTGCGCAGGGCTGAGGCGGCTAAGGGACTGCTGGGCAAAGGCTCTGGACTCTGACAGGGATGGGAGCGGCTCACACAGCTGCAGGAGAGGGGTAGAAGCAGGGCTTGAGCGTGGCTGGGGGTCGGGTCTCAGCTGGACTCAAAGTGTGAGGAGCAGTCACCTCTCCCAGGCGCAGCCAGAGTCGCAACAGGGGCTCCACCTGGGCGGGCCTCACGGTGCAGGGCTCTTGAGCCCCTCGAGGCCAAACCCTCAGCTCCTGCCCAGCCTGGGGCGGTGGCTCTTCTGCCAACTGAAGCAGGTCCATCAACAGAGACCCTGTGTGGGTGGGGGGCAAGAATATCAAACGTGTGGTGGGGATCTGGGGCCTTGAAGAAGAGCCCCAGGGACAGGAAGGGGCTCACCATCAGAGCCCAGGAGCCGGAAAGCAGCCTTGCTCCCTGGCAATGTCTGTTTCTCAGGGTCCTCGGTCAGCTTCATTCGAGGTTGACCTCCCACAGATACCAGCTGCAGGGAGACAGTGTTGGGATAGCTGGACCCCTGTCCTCTACCTGCCACAATCTCCTGGACCCACCCAACCTTGGCCCAGACACTGTCCCCACCTTGTAGACGCAGCCAAGGGAAGGCTGTTGGGGACAGGTGACCACACTGGTGCCAATGCCAATGACGTTTACCTCACTGCCCTGGGGGGGAGAGGTAGAAATGAGCCCAGCCAGGACCTATAGGGTTACAGGACCCTTCAGATCACCCTCCATCTACCCACTTCCACCCCACCTCCTGGGCCAATCGGGCCAGCTCTTCCTCATCAATATTGTTGCTGACAGCGATGGGGACAGCCTCCAGCCAGGGCACCTGGAACCTGTGTGTGATGGGATTTGGGGACAGCCCCTTAGACCTTCCCGATTTACCTGGGCCTCCCTCCCACCCCCACTCAGTCACATTCACATTGGTCCTTAGCTTCAGAGACCCTGGTAGACCCACCCCATGCCTCCCTTCCAGGGCCTGCTCTATTGCCCCTAAAACAAGACCCAAAGCCTTCGCTGTGGGGAAAAAAACACTCTTCCTCCTTGCCTCTACACCCCATCTCCCAGCTCCCCACAGGGCCTCCTACAAGGCATGCCCCCTGGCGGGGGACTCACTGGGCAGCAGTGGTCCGGAAGACCCTGCGGATCTCCTGAGCCTGCTGAAGTAGGTCCCCACTGTCCAGCCTCACACCCACTGCCCTGTAGCCCAGCTCCCCCAGTGCCAGGGCTACTGCCAGGAAGTTAGGAAGACCACTCCTGCAGGCATAAACAAAGGGTTAGGGGCTGCAGCTGCTCTGCCAGGCCAACCCCTGGGGAAAGCCTGCAGCTTACCTCCGCACACTGTAGGTGTCTAAGAGGCCCTGGAAGGCCCGGGGAAAGGCCAGAGCATAGGCCACAAAAGCTGCCTGCTCCCCCAGGTGGGGCTCTTGCAACCCCAGCCCCAGGTGTGCACACACTCGCTCCAGCCACAACTTTACACTGGCAACCAGGTCCACCCTGGGGCCTTTGCCAGCAGCTGGAGCCAACATCTGCAGAAACAGGTCAGTGAAGGTCAGACCCTGTGGGCAGTGTGAGCTCGGGAGTGGTGATACACCCTGCCCTGAGGGCAAAGGTAACGCCACCAGTGTGCCAGCTTCCTGAGGTGGCATCTGTGTAAAGGCAGCTGGGCCCAGCCCACCCCTACAGGGACAAGGGTTGGTCTTGAGGTTTGCCCTCTGAAGTACAGCAGGGTTAAGAAGAGGTACTGACCGGGTCAGGGGGCACCTCATTGCCTGAAAATGAAGTGATGAAGGAGTGGGCCAGGGTTCCAGCCATCGGCACACCCCGAAGCTGCCCAGCAAGTACGTTGCTGCTGCTGTCAAACCCTGGGCAGAGAAGTCAGGCAGGCTTGTGGGCTCTGGGCTGTGGTGGGGCTTGCTCCTTCCCAGCCCTGGCCTTCCCCATTCTCACCGCCCAGGTAGCTGTAGGTGGAGGCCGTGAGACCCCCATCTGGGCCCTGAGCACGCCGCAGGCCAAGCTCCAGCAGTCGCTTATCTGGCCCTGCAATCAGGCGAAGCCGGGCTGCGTTGGTGGCGACCAGACTGTGGCAAGTGACAGGCCAGGGAACCCGAGTGAGGATTAGGAAGCTACCCAAGTAGGCTGGAGTTCCCATCCAGAGCTCCACCTCAGCCCTCCCACAGTCCCTCCTGGAGGCCAGCCCTCCAAGGATCCCAGTCCAGCGCTCTATCCAAGGGCTGGGCCTAGGGGCTTCCCACGAAGACTCAGGTCCCACCTGGCATAGCTGACCAGGCAGAGGAGCGGCGTCTCCAGCAGCTGCACCAGAAGGAGCGGCCCTGAGACCTGAAGCAGCGGAACCTGCGGGGAGGCTAGTCAACTCCATTTGGCCGACGCACCTCCGGTCACCCCCTCCACCCCTTCACCCGCACTCACGCCTGGGAAAGCAAGAGAGCCCTCAGGAAGGGCTCGCACGGTCACCCCGGAGCAGTCAAGGGCCCGAAGGTGCTTGAAGAACGCAGGGTCCGTGTCTGGGGGCAGCATCGAGGCCAGGAACTGCACGTCTGAAGAGGACAGAGGCACTTGTGCAGTACGGGGCCTCGCGGGGTTGTGGAGGGGCGTGGGGCTTCTGGTGGGAATGGGACTGTCCTGTAGGGTCGCGTGGGACTCGCGGCTACCTGCGTCCAGAAGACGGAAGGTGCGCAGAAAGCGCATGCAGTCGCGCAAGCCCGCGGCCAGGGCGAAGGAACCGCCGAACGGGCAGCGGCGGAAGAAAAGCTCGAACTCGGCGGGGTCGAGCGCCCGGCCTGCCCGCCAGTAGCCCAGCGCCATGGTGGCCTGGTAATAGTCGGTGAGCAGAGGCCGAGCCGCCGCGCGCCCCTCGGCGTCCCACTCCGCCGCCATCCTGCTCCGCTGAGCTAGTGACACGCCCCGCCTAACCCCAGCCCCATGACCCTGGGAGACCGCGCCTTCCCCACCCCGCAAAAACCAGCAGGCGGCCACAAAGCTTGTGGAATCTGGACGGGGCGGGGACTTGTCTGTAGCTCGCCCCTCTCAGAACCCAATCCAGAGCCGGCCTCTGGACTAAGGGGCGGGCCTTCCAGCAGCCATCTCTCCCGTGGCGGGTAGCGACTTGCAGGAAGGCAAGAACTTGCCAGGAAGTGGGTGTCACCCTGGCTTGTGCCCCAAGTGCAGAGATCCAGGACAGGCTGGGACTAAAAGGAGGTGGGTAGCTGGGGAGCTTGCAGCAGCTGGGCTAGGACACAGCTAGCCCGGTCAGGCCCCCAAGTCTGCCCTTCACAAGTGAGGGGTGCCTAGGAAAGGGAGAGGGGACTGCGCGTTGGTTTGTGAGTTTCTTCACTCCAGGCCCCCACAGGAAATTCTCACACTTTTTGAAAAGGTATCACTTTTCCTGGTGGACAAGAACCCCAGGATGACAGCTCCAACATTAAGTAACCATGTCCCCAACACCCTTTTAACCCCAAACCCATTGTGACCAGCAGTGCTGGCTTACAGCCCAATGGGGCACAACTCCAGAACACGACTGAGCACATTTTGGACATCCCAGTTCATAATGGGACTGGGCCAGAGCCAGGTCTCCAGCAGCTGGGGAAAGGGACCCAGAGAGTTAAAGAGGTGCAGCATGCTGCAGATGGTGGGAAGAAGCAGTGTCAGGTTGACAAGGGGGTTGGTTCCACCTTGTAAAGCAGCAGGGCAGGACACCTACCGGGATCAGGGACAAGAGGCAGAGCAGAGAAAGGAAAGGGAGGGGGGGGGTGTTGCTCTTCAGTAAATGAGCCAATAGGCAATGTCTGGCTTAAACTGCTTCAGACTGCTCACTTGCAGCAAAAGCAAAAACAGGTGGAGACCAGAGCAGAGGGCAGGTGAGCTAGGGGTGAGGTCATATGACCACACAAAGCTGTGGAGCTCCCAGTGCTGTGTAGGAGGGGCAGTGCAGGGGCAGAGACCATCAGGGACAAGTGTAGGTCTGGGGCCAACCAAATAACAGGACAGGAGTCAGAGTGCCAAGTCTCAGTCTTTAATCTCTGTAGGGCCTCACACAATGTGTGCTTGGCTCAGATCTTGTTGAAAGCTGCAATGTCGACACTCTGCACCTGTGGAAGAAATGGGTACCATCAGAGGCTCGTTTCCCCAAGGCCCACTCGCTCCAGTGCCTGTGCAGTAGGAGCGCAGTGGGGCTCCATTCAGGGACTCATTCATCACCGATGGGGCAGCAAGTGCAGCAGTGGGATCCCAGGTTCCGCCCAACTGCTCACCACCCCTTGCCCCTTACTCACGTGCTCCTCAAACTTGGTGATCTGCTCCTCCAGCAGGTCGGTGCCCACCTTGTCATCCTCCACCACACACTGGATCCGCAGCTTGCGGATGCCATAGCCCACAGGCACCAGCTGAGAGCCACCCCAGAGCAGCCCATCCAGCTGGATGGAGCGCACACAGGCCTCCAGCTGGGCCATGTCTGTCTCATCATCCCACTGTGAGAGAGTGGAGGAAGGCAGAGTGAGCCACCCAGAAACCCCCAGAGCACCAGGGGAGAGCCCACCCCTCTTTGGCCTTGAACCACCACGAAGACATAACTCTGCTTCTTTTGAAGGGCTCTTGGAAACAGCCCCACTTACACCCGCCCGGCCCCAAGTTTCTGTTCTTATCCCAAGATTTCTAATCTTGACTTCCCACCAGGAAGAGTCAGAGGCTGAGGCTGTGGGCAGGCCACGATATCCTGCCGGTTGAGGGGACTCCTGCCCTCCCCGAGTCCCTCCCTACTCCCACTCACAGGTTTGACATCCAGGAGGATGGAAGACTTGGCCACCAGCAAGGGCTTCTTGGCCTTCTTCTCTGCATACTGCCGCAGCCTTTCCTCCCGCAGCCGAGCTGCCTCCTTGTCCTCCTCCTCATCACCGCTGCCAAACAGGTCAATATCATTGTCCTCGTCGTCCTCTGCAGGTGTGGCAGCCTTCTTGGCTGGGGGTTCCACTTGGCGCATGGGAGACACGTGCTGCCACAGGTGAGGAGAGGCTGAGACCCAGCCAGGCCTCTCCTCTCTGCTGACCCTAGGCATCCCAAGGGCCTGGGCTCTGGGTCCACAGGAACTGCCCCCCCAGGTGAGGACAAGCTCCCTCCACCCTGACTTGGGGGTCAGCCTGGGCACCATGAACCTTTCTGGGCCCTACTACCTCACTGCTGACCACAGCAAGAGGTGTGAGCCAGGAGGGTGCTCACCTGGGTTTGAGGGGCTGTGGCTCGGTGGGCGGGCGAGCTCTTCTCCAGCATGCTCAGCCGGGCCTCCAGCCTAGCAATGGCCTGCTGCAGGTCCTGCACCACTGTGGGTACAAGGGGACAGGGTCGGATGGCAGGTCTGGGGTGGGGAGGGACCCAACCATCAGCCCAGGCCTCACCACTTCGCAGGTTCTGGTTCTCTACTTCCAGGCTGGCAATGCGTACAGCCAGCTCGCTGTGGTCTCCACCAGGCCCGCCAGAGGCCCCAGGGCCTGAGCTCTGCAAGGCAAGGGAAGGGAAGGGAAGGGGAGCTCAGTGCCCCAGCTGTGCCTAGGGCCCCTCAATCAGCCACTCAGAAGCAGAGTGCCATCCTGGGCAAGAGGCTCAGGATAGTCCTCCCTGCTGAGGCCCACCCTCGAGGGTGTGAAGACCTGTTAACCTCAGGGAGGGTGGCTGCACAGCCACAGTAACATTCTCAGTCAAGCACGAGCACAGGACAAGAAGCAGGGGGCCTGTGGCAGCCGAAACACAGCAGCAGCTCAGGGTTGTCACTGCTCAGTAGCTGGACAGGAGGCAGCAGGACTTACAGTCCCAGGGGCAGCCTGGCTCAGGGCTTCAGGGGGGCCGGGCAGCACCACCTTGAGCTGGAAATGGGAGGGGAGAGCAGTTGAGGGGCCAATGGGGAAGGAGCAAGCGTGCAGGAGGCCACTAGTCCAGCCCCTTGCCTCCCAACCCTCACCCCCCTCAACTGGGGATTGAACCCAGGACACTCTACCACTGAGCTACATTCCCAGCCACTTTCATTTTATTTTTGAGGCCTCATTAAGTAGCCCTGCCTGGCCTCGATCCTTCTGCCTCAGCCTCCCAAGTTGCTGGGACTACAGGTATGCACCATGTCAGCCAGAGCTGACCTGTGAAGGTTCCACTTAACCATAGGGCAGGCTCCCCCCATAGGGCCTACCTAGCTTCTAGACTACCTCCAGATGTTGCGGTCCTTAGGCCAAGGGGGCAGGGAACTACATAACAGGTCAGGGGGTGCACGAGTCCTAGCCTAATGGTTCTTGCAAATGGGATGGGATCCTCCAGAAGGATGGGAGGGCCTTTCTCAGGATCTGCTCCACAGCAGAACCTAATCCTTTCAGCAGGAGGCAGGATTCAGGCCTCTGCCCATTGCACAGCACGCGGGCCCCTGGGTCCTATCATAGCTCTTGGGAAGACAGTGAGTGTCCCCCCTGTGGGAGCTGAGTGACACAGAGCAGAATTTGGGCAGGGATGGCAATCAAAGTGAGGCTCAGGAGACCCACCTGAGAGTGGAAGCTAGCTAGAGTGCCAAGGCTGTTTCCAGGGCAAGGAATGGGGCTATGCCCTGGGGACTGGTGCCCATTCCAGTCTGTGAGTGGCAGGGCCTGGGAGCCTGGGGCCTCACCCACCATATACAACAGGCCTGAGGAAAAGGAAAAGGTCCCTCTGGAAGAGGCACAAGTTAGCACAGGATGTGGGAATGGTCTCACTCTGTCTCCACACAGCCTGGGCTGGCTCCAGGGATGGCCAGTCAGGCAGGCGGGAAGACTTCCTGCAGCCCCAGAGCCACCAGCCGGGTCTGACCCTCTGGATGCTGGAGCTCAGTGTGCCTGATTCCAGTGCAGTAGTCTGTGAGGGTCTTCCTGGACTGAACTGGGGTGAAGGGTTGGGATCTAGGACTGCTGAGATGAGATCAGGTAAAAGGCAAGGACAACACGGAACCAAGCATGGGCACGGTGGCCAGGCCTGTAATACCAGCTGCTTGGGGGGCTGAGGCAGGAACATCAAAAGTCCAAGGCAAGCTTTGGCAACTAAGCAAAACTCATCTCAAAAAAAGGGATGGGATGTAGCTCAATGATAAGAGTGCTTGCTAGCAAGCCTGAGGTCCTGGGTTCCACCCTCAGCATAGGGGGAAAGAGAGGGGAAAAAAAGTGTGTGTGTTGGGAGAGAAGCCAAGCATGAAGCAGGAACCATCATACAGTGGTGGCACTGCTCCCAGGAGCCCATGTGCCAGCTGTGCCAGACAGACTGGCCCCCAGACTTACCATATGAATGCCATACAAATGCCCAGAGCCTGTAACACTGGCTCACATGGCAAAGTGGATTCTGCAGAGGGCATTAAGGACCTGGAGATAAGGGTAGGCCTAAGGTCACCACAAGGCTTTGTGCAAGAAAGAGGAGCCAGAGGGGAGGCCGGAGTGATGGACAGCTGAAGAGAGCCTGTGCTAAGGCAGACAGAATGGAATTTCTCTAGAGACTTCAGAAAGAACCTGCAGACAGCTAAGACACTGCTTCCTAAGACACGTTTCAGACTTCTGATCCCGGAACCACAGGATAATAAATGCATACCATTTTAACCACTAGATTGTGGCAATTTGTTACAGTGCCAGCAACTAGAAAACAGGCCTTGGCTTCTACAAGGGGGGGGGGGGTGTGCTGCTAAAAGTCCCTAGAAATGTGGAAGTGGCTGTAGAATTGGCAACAGTAAGGCTGGAAGGCCTCTGTGAAGCATGACAGAAAAATCCTGGCTCCCTTGAGCAGGCTGTGGAGGCAAAAGCCTGGGAAGAGGGTGAGAAGCAGCATCACCTTGGAGAACACTAATGGCAGATGCTGCAGTGAGCTTAGGTGACAGAAGTATGCATCACCAGAGAGGGTAGGGGCATTGGAGGACAGGCTGGCTCCATGTATCAGGCAGGGCGCAGAAAGCAGGACTCCTAGATGAAGGAAGCTGACCTTCCACTGAGATTCCTGAGCCAAGTCTGGAAGGCACAGGTTAGCTTTGTGACCCTTACAGCAAGATGAGGAAAAGAGAGGAAGGACTTGATGGTCTGGGGAATTCACAGAGCCTCGAGACTGCAAGACACTAGCGAGGTGACTCATGCCAGGAAAGCACGCTCTGGAGAGAGCCGGCGGTGGCTGGTATCCAGGAAAGAGACACAAGTCAGAGGATTTACATGCCCACCCAGAGATCAGGAGCTTGACTTATGGCTCTTCTCAGCCAGCTCAACAGGAGCCAAGAATGGAATGAGATGATCCACTGAAGACCTGCAGAAGACTGTCATGGAGCAGACCCTGTGGCATACAGAGGGACCCACAAACCTCAAGAAGTTTGTATCAGCAGAACCCCTACCAGCTTGGACCAAAGGAACAGAGACAAGATGAAGTCAAAGGAGGCTGTAGGACCCCAACATTCACAGGCAAGAAGGCTGCTGAAGTCCCTCAGCTACAAGTGGTCTCTGGCAAGATGGTCTCCAGGCAGGGTCCTAAGCCACAGGCCTTCGAACCCCATGCAGTTTGCCTGGCTCAATCCTGAGCTAGCTTGAACTCTTTCTGAATGAGAATTTCTACTCTACACCTGTCCCACAACTGTACCTGGGGAGCAGATACCACAGCACAACTCCCCAAGCCTAACTCAGGTGACCTGCTGAAGTGATACAGTGGACTATGGTAGACAGAGATGTCTCCCACCCCCAAAGATAACATAAGCCTGTGAATCTGTTACCTTACATGGCAAAGGGAATTAGCAAATATGACCAAATTCACTTAAATTTTTTTTTTTTTTTAGTATATTTGTTTAGTTATCAAGAGCTATACCACTAAGCCACAGCCCCAACCCCAAGGTTACGTTTTTAGAAGACAAGAAGGGCCAGGCACAGTGGCACTTGACTGTAATCTCTGTGGTTTGGGAGGCTGAGGCAGGAGAATTGAGAGTTCAAAGCTTACCTCAGCAACTTAGTGAGGCCCTAAGAAAATTAGGTAGACCTTGTCTCTAAAATATAAAAGGCCTGGGGTGTTGTTCAATGGTTAAGTGTCCCTGGGTCCAATCCCTTGTACCAAAAATAAAAACAAAAAGGATATGCTGGGGCTGGGGCTGTGGCCCCGTGGTGGAGCACTTGCTTGGCACGTTGTGAGGCACTGGGTTCAATCCTCAGCACCACATATAAATAAAATGAAGGTCTATTGCTAGCCAAAAAAAAAAAAAAAAAGTTTAAAAAAGGGGATGTAGCTCACTTGGTGGAGTGCTTGTCTCACATGCCCAAGGCTCCGAGTTCAATCCCCAGCACCGCCAGAGCCATAAGCCAAGAGTGTGGCGAGTTCTGAAATCTGGCAAAGGCAGGGATGGATGCTCTTAGAGCCTCAGAAGGATCACAACTCTGTGGGCACCAGGGCTTTAGCTCTGACATCCGTTTTGGATGTATGGACCTCTGGACCATGATAGAGGGTAAGTTTGTGGGGTTTTGTTTTGTTTTGGTGGTGCTAGAGATTGAGCCCAGGGCCCTGTGCAGGCAAGGCAAGCAACTCTACCAACTGAGTTATATCCCCAGCCCCAAGTTTGGTTTTAAGCACAAATCATGGAGTAACCCATTACAACAGCCAATGGGAAACTGGAACCCAGCCCTCAGGACAGGACATCACCCACATCCCAGAATGAGGCCCTGACTTCCCTAGAGTAGGGAAGCCAGAGCAGCAGATCTGTCCTCCATCTGAAGGGCACACCTTCCCCATCCAGCCTGCCAAGCCAGAGCGGGACAGAGCTCGCCATTCCTCCTCAGTCTGGGGCCTAGAGGCCAAGCAGGTGCCAGCTCTGATCTAAAATGCAACACACCCTGTGAGCCACCGTTCTTTCCCTGGGGAAAGCCACTAGATTGTGGCTTGGTAGACACACACACTCCTTCAGCAGGGAGCAAGCAGGAGGACACAGGCTTCCAGAGTGTACCCAGTGTGTGTCTTGAACCACTCAGCCAGCGGCCCAGGGTTGACACCAAGGGAGTGGCCAGGGTGACCACCAGCAAACAGGTGAGGGGTGTGTGTAAAGGTGGAAACCAAAAGATCATCTCTGTGGAAGTTTGGGTCCTGCAAGAACACAGCACTGCACGCGGTACCCTAACTTTGATCCACAGGACCAAAACAGTCAGTAGTACCAAGAGGGAAAAAAACAAAACAAAACTGACGTGCGGTTTGGCCGAGCACGAGCCCACGTATATGTGGGCCGTGGGTACTCACTCCGGCCAGGGATTTCTGGATGTTCTCTCTGGCTCTTGCAATGTCGCGGAGGATCACGCTGGCACCATTCTCCTGCAGACAGTGCAGAAAGAACCAGTCTCTCTCTTTTTTGTTGTTTAAACACACACACATACATACACACACACCACACCCACACCCACTCCCAAGAATCGTCACTCAGAAAGCAAGAAAGAACTGCACAGAATGAAAGTTCCAGGGGCAGTGAAAAGCAGGATTCAAGGACAGGACCACAGGGTCTCAAGTGCGGTGTCTGCAGCCTGGCCCCCCACTGCCTGGGAGCATCAGAAGCATGCTGTCCTGTGTTGGGGCAGGAGCCAAGAGCAGACGCCACTCCCAGCACCCTGAGAAGAGCTACTTGGCCCAGACGTGCCACTACCCACCCGACCTTGCCAGCAACCTCTTTGCAGGCTGCAGCCACTCCTACTGAGCAGCAGAGCCACCTGGTGGCCCCAAGCATTCCCTCACCTGGCGGGAGGCACCAGCCACAGGCCCATTCATCTGCTCATAGAACTTCCTTTCTGCATCATCGTATTTGAACTTGTCAAACCAGATCTTCTCATGCACTAGAAAGTTTGTAGCCATTTTTCTGCTGGGAGCAGGAGGAGAGGTAAGGTCAGAATGGCTGGGAAAAGGGGGTCCCAGTCAGTGCGGGCCTCACCTTCACCACAAGCCCCCAAGCCTGAACCACCCTGCCTGGGGAGTGGCCCAGAAGCAACAGGGTGCTGGGTGGGCTGCAACACCCTCCTTCCGTGAAGTCCCAGATGTCAACTCTGGGCCTGCCCAGTCCTTCTGGCCCATAGACCACCAGTCCTGGGTGAGAGGCTCCAGAACCCAGGGAAAACACAAGTGATCCTCGGCATGACGACACGAAGCCCACAAGGGCCCTCTGCACATAAGTGGCCACACCAACACATCATCCTCTCCTCCCACCCCGTAAGGGTTTCCCCCAGGGCCTCGATGGGGTCCATAGGCTTGTCCTCTGGCCAGTGGGTCTCAAAGTTGGTCCAAAATCCTCTGGGGATCCCCAAAATTCCTCTCCTCCTCCTCCTCTTCTTCTTTTTTTTAAACAATTCTGGGGATTAAACTCAGGGCATGAGTGCCAGGCAAGTGCTCTACCACTGAGCGACATCCCCAGCCCTAAGGTGCTCCCTTTCAAAATCAGTCAATTTCTGCAGTTGAGGGCAGAAGCAGCTGCTGCCATGAGAATACAGAACTCTGACCCAGACAGACCAAGGGAGATTGCAACAAGGTAGAACAAGGCCACTCTGCTTTCTGAATCATCTTGCTACAGGAAAGGTATTTTTGACAACATGTTTTGGGCACTAATGTGCAAAAGCAAAGCAAAAAGCTTTTTTTCCTTCAGTAAATATATACTTTTGGTACTTGTAATTTGCTTTAATAGCCAAGATGTAAACATCAATAGATACAAAAGCTCTTCAGGGTCCCAAGACCAAAAAGTTTGAGAACCACTGCTCTGGCCAAGTCCAGCAAACTATGGCCCACAGGCCATGTCCAGTCCCATCTCTGCACGCCAGGCCTCACTGGGTCTCTGGCCCTTCAGTTGATCTACTCTTTTTCTCCAGCTGTCCTGCCAAGTACTACAGACAGACCTGTCTGGCGCTGCCATCAATTCTCTGTGCCAGGGACCCCATACTATCACTGGGCCTCACCAAGTGCCCTCTCCCAAGAGAAACAACCCTGCGTCTCCTTTACTGCCCTCACCTAGGACGACCTGCATGCAGCCAGGTCACCAGGACAGGTGGGTGCAGGCAGGAAGTTGCACACCTTCCCCCAGCACTCAGGGCCCAAAGGGTATTGTTCCTAGGAGGCCCAGGCAACTGGTTGAGACCCTTCATATTCCCTCTGTGTCCACCCACCTCACCCATCATCTGCCCAGGTCCAGCAGCTGTGGGGGATGCATTCTATGACCAGGCACTGACCCAAAACCCAGGCCTCCAGCCTCCACTGCTGGGTCTATGTCCACCTATCCTGGAACAAGGCCACTTGGTTCCCAGGCTGAAGGAGGTCTCCCTCCGCAAGGAGTCCTTTAGACAGAGGCTGCTAGACGAGCCACCAACTCTCAATCTGATGCCCACCTTACCTCAGAGGCAGGCACACCCAGTGGCCGGGCTTGCCACCATGGCCCCCATACCTCACCAGGGTATCTGCCCAATGATGACATCTTCCCCGACCAACCTCAACAGTTTAGAACTGCCACCTCCAGGACAGACACACCAGCTTTGCCCGCCCACCCCACATTCAACTTGGCCAGGTCCTCAGGTAACTGGAGTGCCCCCACCCAGGGGAAGGGTGGGGAGGAAAGCATGAGGGGCCCAGGCTGGGGGTGGCAGTCCCTCTGCCTGCAGCCCAGGCCGGACTGGGTGCCCAAGAGCACAGGTCTCCTACTTGGGTCTCAGGCTGGACATGGATGGGCCAGAGCGGGGCCCAGTTCGGTGAGCCAAGGAGGCGGCCTCAAGGCGCCAGGCCATGCGCAGGGCCTCGGCAGCATGGTGGCGGCACTCAGCGCTGTCATAGGAGGGCTTGCTGAGCCAGGGGGCCTCAGCATCCTTGTGCAGGAAGTACCAGTAAGGCAAGGCGGAAGGGGCCTCCCCATCAGCCCGCCGTGGCCCGGCCCTCTTGCTTCCTACGGGGTTGCGGCCCCGCCGGTCTCTGCGGCCCCGCCGGGTGCCCTCTGCCTGGCCAGCTCGCTCCTGTAGGCGCACCTTCCTGGGAGGATGGCCATCAAACAGGGCTTCATAGAAGCCCCTCTCGGCAGCATCATACCGGGGCTTCTCCAGCCACACCTCCCAGACCAGTGCCTGTAGGGTGCCCAGAGGAGGCTGGCCGTTGGCTGGTGGGCTGGGCTGGTGAACCAGGGCCAGGCTGGGAGTGGCCAGCAGCTGGCCCGCATCAGGAGCCCCCAGCCTGCAGCTCCCCTCTGCGGTCAGCAGCAGGCTCTGAGACCGCTCCACAAAAGCTCGCTCGGCCTGGTCAAAGGAAGACTTGTTGACCCAGACTCCCCAGGTCACGTGGTGACAGGCCACCTGGTTCCCATGTGTGCAGGGACCCCAAGGGGCCAGGGCAGGCAGCTGGGCTGCCTGGGCGGCCACATCTGCCAGCCTCTGGCGGTAGGAACTTTCTGCCTGGTCGAAGAGTGGCTTGTCCAGCCACACGTGATCGGCTGAGAGGCCCATGAGGGCCAGGTCCACCTGGCCGAGCCAGCTCTTAGGGGAGCGCTTCCTCTTCTTCTGCAGGGGCTTCTTGCTGTCACGGCTCTTCCTGGGATCGCTGCTGCTGCTGCTGCTGGTATCGGGGGCCCCTGCCTCGCTGGCCTCCTCGGTGTCCTCCTGACCGGGCCCGTTCACGGCTGGCACCTGTGTCAGGAGCTGCTGGGCAGAGGCGGCGGCCTGCGTGGCCTCCCACTCATGGAAGCGCCGCTCGGCCTCCTCATACTTGTGCTTGTCCTCCCAGACGGTCTCCAGGGCACAGGAGGCCTTCCCGCTCCTCATCTTCGGGCGCAGCATTAAAAAGCAAGCACAAGAAGGCAGTTGCAACACAGCAGAGGCACCTGCCTCCCAGGCCCTCCTCAGCCTGACAGGCAGAGGTGGGCAGGAGACCTGGGGCAAGGACTGGGTGGGGCACCTCCCAAGGGGCTCCATGAGAGGACATGCCGAGGCTCAGAAGTCAGACCCTTGTGGGGAGCTTTTGTAAATAAAAACCAGGAGACATACATACACGTCTATGTATGTGTGTACCTGTTTTCACTGCCAAAGTTGTCTTTGCTAACTCCACAGGCCCCACGGCCCCCTGAAAGGAATCTAGAGAACACTACTTCCAAACCTGCCACAGAACCCTCTTCTCATGGAGCCTCCAGGTAGGTTGCAGACGAAACAGAAACGGCTGTGCTCAGACTTGACTTTCATGTGAACCCCCATAGTCTTCTAGTACAAGTATATTCCATTAAATATTTGAGAGTAACTTACATTAATTAACTGCTCCCCGTTTATCTGAACTGAACTCCAACTTGACTTCCTGGGCGTGTGCTAAACCCGGCTGCCCACCCTGGAATAGCTGGTATTGCACTTCACAGAAAGGCTGCTGCGGCTGCCCATCACCATGCCACCTGTACTGCCACAGCCTCACCACTGCCCCACCCAGGGCAGCCGCCTGTCCAGTACAGGGACAGGGATCTTAGCAAAGGGACCTGACTGACCTCACAGGAGGGGTGGGTGGCTGGGAGCAGAGGTCAAGTGTCCATCCCCAAATGATAACATCAACAGGACACACCAGGGAGGGTGCGAACAACTGGTCCTAAAGGGAAGGAACCAGAGCCCAGGCTGCTCAGCCAGCTGTCACTATGTCCTCAGTTGGTACTGTGGCCAGTGGAGGCAAGAGTCATCCCTGGGGGCTTCAGCCTTCTTACTGGCCTGGGTGTTCCCTCAAGCTGTGCGAGACAGGGCCCTGGGTCTGATGCATTCACCAGCAGCCACATGATGTCATGCCCCTGCTGCCCCAGCATCCTTCCAGGAGCACAGAAGCCCACAGTCTGCCCCCAGGTACCATGCCATGAAAAGGGAAGGCCACAGAGACTCTGCCAGCCAGCCCGAAAAGCCAGGAGGCAAGTTGCTCAGAGGATGTAGGTAAGCATCGGCCATGTGCTCAGCTGCCCTGCCCCATAGCCATCTCTGTCTGGATTCCTTCTAAGCCAGATTCAACTAACAACCCACAGAAGCTGACTACAGATAGGGGCACCACTGCCCCACTGCTTCTGTGGGTTTGCAGGGAGCAGCCTAGGGGAAAACAGACTTGACGGGTTCCAGGACCTCTGTGTAATCATGCTACCTAATGGTCCTCACCCAGGAGGGCAGCAGCCTGTGGCTGGACAGCAAACCTAAACCACTGTCCAGGACCCTTTCCTAGTATCCACAACAAAAATCACAGTCTGACCTCCTTGTCCTGGGGGTGCTTAGTTGTCTAAATTCCACCCATGTAGTAGACTTCAGGAAGCCCTGCCTGTCCTATCCTGACACCCACTAGGCTCCCTCCATCACAAAAAGGAGACCAGGAGCCATAGAGATTCAGACAGGGAATCCCTGGGCCACCCCTCACTCACCAAGGCCAGGCTGCCAGGGCAGAGGCAGGAGTGAGTGTGCAGCCCGGAGCCCAGGAGGCAGGGCACTGTGACATCACCCACTGTTGCCAAGAGGCAGTAGAGTTGGCCTTGTGTGTGTCAACGCAGCAGGGACTTGTCTGTTCTCTAACCTCCCCAACATCAAACCCCTAGGACCCACCAGCTGCTCAGCACCCATGGAGCTGATCCCTGTCCCTTCAACAAGGCCCACTAAGCTGGCCCCAGAACTCACACCCTGCCAAACCTTACTGGCCTAAATGACCCAAAACCAGGACCTAGGGGCTCTTCCTGGGGCAGGAGCTGCAGTTCAACGAGGGGAAGCCACCTCCAAGGTACATGCCAACAAGGAACACTTCTTAAGGCCACATCTTCACATGTGGCTGCCAATACCCTGCAGGGGGCTGCATGCCACCTGCCTGTCCCAGGCCAGGACCCTGCTTAGTGCCACACTGCTGCCCCCCGCCCTCCAGCAAGCCCAAATCCTCACGGGCAGCAAGGGGATGGCTGGGGGGCTCCCTGGAGCAGGAGAAGAGAGGTGGTGCACCAGACAGGTGTACTTACTTCTGCTTTGGCCTCCTAGGACAGCATGAAGGAAAAGCATCAAGGTTAGAGCAGTGGGAAAGCCAGCCGTGCCAGGCAGCAGCTGGGGCAGCCCGAGCAGGCTGGATGGCCTTTCGGAAGCTGCTGAGGTGACATGGGTCAGAAGGTGAGCACTGAACACACCTGTACCACCCAAATCCCAGGCAGCTGCCTGCACACTTGAGGCAGCCTCACCCCATCATCCCTCAAAACACAGCTCTTATGTCGGCTGCATGAGATCAGCTATTCCCTGGAGCACACACGTACGTACAAGACCACAGCTGTCCGGAAGGTCAGCCAGGAACAGGAAGCAACGAGGTTCTTGAGCACCAGCTGCATCCCTACTCAAGGTGGCCCTTCTGAGGCTCATCCAGGCAGCAGAGCTTGCCAAGAGAATGAAGCACAGGGAAGAAGGCCAGCTGCCAGACAAGGGAAGCGGCCTGAGCAGCTCTTGCTCCACTTAGGGATGCAGGCTGGACTCCTGCCAAGGTCTCTCCTGTGAGAGGTGGAAGGGGCCCAGTCTCGGGGGCGTTCCAGGATGCAGACAGCTTAACGGGCCCTTGGTCCTAGTAAGAGGTGCCCAACAGCCCTGTGGGGCTGTCCAGCCCAGCAACCTGTACAAGAAAAATCTCATAAGAAACTTAACAAATGAATGAGCTCACTGGCGGAGGCAGACGCAGCCTCTGAAGTATGTGTGAGGCCCCATGGCCAGGCCACATCTATTCTGCTGAAGGGAGGATATGGGGTATGGGGCCGTGTCATTTGCTAACCTGGAACCTGGCAGCAGCCCCTGTGAAGGACCCTCCTGAAGTGCTGTGCCCTGAGGAAGATGAGGGCATGACCTGGCACAGCTACATCCACCACAGTGGCAAGGGCCTGGAGGTCTCCCTGTACCAGGGCAGATGGAAGAGGAAGAGAGGGCTCCCAGGCCCTGCCCTCCACACCTTCCATCCTCTGGCATGTCACCCCATTCGCCACCCACACTGATGGGCTCCCAGACTGTCCACCCTCCAACACAGAGTGGAAATTCGCTGAGGATGGGGTCAGCTGGTTCGACTATACTCCAGCAACATGTCTCTCTGGGCTGGCCTGAGTCTGTGGATCAGTGCTGTCCAAGAGAATTTTCGACATATTCCTTGTCCAAAAGGGCAGCTGCTAGCACTTGAAATGTGGTAAGGATGCCAGAGGAAGGGGCTTTTTTATTCAGGACAGGCATGCAGCCACCTGGGAAAGAGCAGATCTCTGCATGGGAATGAAGCCTCTGACCTTTTTTCACAGGCTGAAACTCCACAGCACCAAGTTTCTACTAAGATGCTTCCCTGCACATTGGAGCTAACTAAGCCACCCCACCCCAGGCCTGGCCAGCCCCAACAGCTTTCTTGCCTCAAATGCCATCTCTGTCACTTCTATTTCTGTCCCCGTCCACAGTACCCTGGGCTGACCCATCAATCGGCCCAACTCAGCCATGGGGCCTGTTAGGTGCCTCCTGCTTTCCCGACTCTTCCCCACATATACACCTGACTATAAGACAGGTGTGTCCTCACACAGGAATGAGAACACCTAGCTGGGGACAAGAGTGTGATATCTTACACTGTGGGAAAATTAAGGCTCCAAGTGTTATGGCCACTGAATGCTGCCAAGTCAGTGAGGTGAAGGGCTCGACACCAGCATTTCACACAAATGCATTTTTTGCAATTCCCAACATGCACATGTCATCTTAGAATTCTGGCACAAGACAAGGGCCCTACAAAGGCTTAATGTCTCATTTCCTGCCCTCAGCCCCAGAAACGCTGACAGCAGCAGCAACACCCCAGAGACACTCTCTTCAACCACCAAGCTCTCTTCAAGCACATGTGCCCACCTGTGCTGAGCCCTGCTCCCTTACCCAGCTCTCCAAGGTTTATACTTATCAGGCTCCTCCAGAGGGCAGGAAGCCATTCAGAGTAATCCCAGGCAAGAAGGTACCAGTGGTCTTTCTCCACTCACACCACCCCAGTAGCCCGCAGGAAATTGCTGCTGTCCCTTAACTCCAAGATAAGAAAAACAGCAGCCTGAACTGGTCACCATGCAGCTTAGAAGGGGACCTGCCCTCCTTTAAGAGGTCCTTCTTCTTCCTGGTAGATCCTTGATTCTGCTGACACACAGGGTTGGCTCAAGACCCCTTCATAAAAAGGCCTAGGAGCTCAGCTGGACCTGTGCCAGGGACAAGGTGAGAAAGCATTTCTCAGGGAAACTTGGGAGCTCCTGTCACATCTGTCTTTTGCCATCTCCCACTCCTAGCCGGGCACAGTTTCAGGAAAGGAAAACCAACAGCTGGAGATCTCATTTCCTTCAGCCTCTGGCAACATTAAGAAGCATCCCTCCCAAACTGGTAGGGAACACCCCAAAGTTTAGCTTCAGCGTTCTTTTGCTAAGAGGGGCCCTTCACTCAATAAGCAACCCGAAGTCCCCCCACCTCACTTGCTCAGCTATAAGTCTCTGCCTTCTCTCTTCTGCTTACGCCTTTTGAAAGTGTTCATTTCCTAGGAACAGCACGACAGTCCCTCTCAACGTCCCCTCTCCACCCAGACCACCTATCTACACCAAAACTGTTTCTTTCGAACCACTCAGCAGAGTACATTACTCCTTACTCTCTCGCGTGTTTGGGAACCATCTAAGTCTCGCAAAGGTTGCACCAGTGTCCTCCCCTCTATGACCAGAGCTCGGTGTGCTGTAGGTGTTTTAACACGTGCTGGACGAACGCAAGGATTACAAGCACGAACAACAGCTGGGGCAGATGGGTGCTATGGTTCCCACGAGGACGAAGTCAGACCCCAAACCCAGCGGCCCCACCAATCTCAGGGCGGGTTCCAGGTTGGGCCGCCCGCCACGCAGTGCGTCTGACCACGCGCTCAGCAAGAGGCGCGCGGGGTCTGCGCCCAGGGCGGCCGTCGCCTTGGACCATGTGGCGGTCCACGCTGGCCCACTCGCGCTGGCCCGTAGGGCCTCTCCGGCGCGTGCGCTCCTTACGACGGGGTCGCGGTACTCACACGCCAGGCACCAACACGACCAAGAGGAGGGACCTGCAGCACGGGTCTGCTGAGGAAAGGGCGGGCCGTCCGCGCCGCGAACAGGAAATGGAGCGGGGCGTACCACGACAGGCGCCGCGGGGGACGCAGCTCTGAGCTCACGCTGCCTCGCGGACGGAGCTCTAGGAGTTATGCGCTTTGTAGCTGCCAAGATACAAGACAGTGGGGTTCTACCCCAGAGGCCTTCTCCAAGGGAGAAATTGGCTCAAAGTGCCGGGGAAAGAACAGCAGCCAGCCCCCCACCCCTCCGCCGTCCACCTAATGGAGACGTCCGCTAGGCCTGGCATATTCGGCGCACGCGCCCAGGGACGGCGCGAGGCGGCCAGCGCGCAGGCGCGGCGAGGCTGGGGCGTGGCCGAGCTGCTGGGGCGGGGCCAACGCGCCTGCGCCGGCTGGGCTGGCGAGACAAAAAGGAGGAACCCGGGCGGCCCCGCCCCTAAGCGCCCCGCCCCGAGCGGCCCGCGGGCCGGCGTCAGGCTCCCGCGCCCCAGTGGTCTGCTCCGCAGCCGCTATGTACCCCGCGAGTCCTCCCGCAGGCTCGGCCCCGCACTTGGCCCCACACTGCGACCTCTGCCCCGCGCCCGGGCGCCTTGCGGAGCCGCCGCGGGCCCCCTTGCCCGCCCCGGACCCCGTCGCGCGCCCGCCGCACGCCGCGCCCGGGCCGCGGCCCCGCGTGGCAGTGAAGATGGCCTTCCGCAAGGCCTACTCCATCAAGGACAAGCTGCAAGCCATCGAGCGCGTCAAGGGCGGCGAGCGGCAGGCCAGTGTGTGCCGAGACTTCGGCGTGCCCGGCGGCACGCTGCGCGGCTGGCTAAAGGACGAGCCCAAGCTGCGCTGGTTCCTGGACCAGCTGGGCGGCGAGGTGGGCACGCAGCGCAAGAAGATGAGGCTGGCCAACGAGGAGGAGATCGATCGCGCGGTCTACTCTTGGTTCCTCACGCTGCGCCAGCACGGCGTGCCACTGTCGGGGCCGGTCATCCAGGCACAGGCTGAGGCCTTCGCGCGCCAGATCTACGGCCCCGAGTGCACCTTCAAGGCTAGTCACGGCTGGTTCTGGCGATGGCAGAAGCGCCATGGCATCTCCAGCCAGCGCATCTACGGCGAGGCCGAGCCCCCGCCTGCTGGATCCGCGCCTGGCCCACCAGTCAAGGAGGAGCCGGCGCAGCCTCCAAGCGGCGGCCCGCTGCCCGACCGGGCACTGGCCGCGCCGCCCCCAGCCGAAGGCGGCTATGGTGACGAGCAGATCTACAATGCCAACGTCACTGGCCTTTACTGGAGGCTGCTTCCGGAGCAGGCTGCACCCCCGGGCACAGAGGACCCCAGGGCGAGGGTCTGCGGCTGGCGCGCCGACCGGGTGACAGTGCTGCTGGCCGCCAACTTGACAGGCAGCCACAAGTTGAAGCCACTGGTCATCGGGCAGCTGCCGGACCCGCCCAGCCTGCGCCACCACAACCAGGACAAGTTCCCGGCCTCCTACCGCTACAGCCCCAATGCTTGGCTCAGCCGCCCGCTGCTACGCGGCTGGTTCTTTGAGGAATTCGTTCCGGGCGTCAAGCGCTACCTGCGTCGAAGCTGTCTGCAGCAGAAGGCGGTGTTGCTGGTGGCCCACCCGCCCTGGCCAAGCTGGGCCACCAGGATGCCCGCCCTGGAAGAAAGCGAGGAGACCCCCAGGCGGTTTGGGCCTGAGCCCTTGGGGCCCCCTGAAGAGCTGCAGACACCAGACGGCGCTGTGCGGGTTCTTTTCCTGTCCAAGGGCAGCAGCAGGGCACACATTCCTGCACCGCTGGAGCAGGGTGTGGTGGCTGCCTTCAAGCATCTGTATAAGCGGGAGCTGCTGCGGCTGGCAGTGTCCTGTGCTAGCGGCTCCCCACTGGACTTTATGCGCAGTTTCATGCTTAAGGACATGCTGTACCTGACTGGCCTCTCCTGGGACCTGGTGCAGGCAGGCAGCATTGAGCGCTGCTGGCTGCTGGGCCTGAGGGCTGCCTTCGAGCCTGGACAGCAGTCAGCCCACCAAGCTGAGGAGGCTGCGGAGCACAGCAGGGCGCTTAGTGACCTCACACATTTGGCTGCTCTGGCCTACAAGCGCCTGGCACCCGAAGAGGTGGCTGAGTGGCTGCACCTGGACGATGATGGGGGCCTCCCTGAGGTCTGCAGAGAGGAAGTGAGCCCTGTCTGGCCCCCTGCATTGGCCCCTCTATCCCCAGCCAGCCTGCCCTCTAGCATGGGGGGTGGAGAAGAGGAGGAGGAGGAGGAGGTCACTGAGCGTGGTGGGGTGTTGGTACCCACTGCAGGGGAGGCTGTGTGGGGGCTGGAGACAGCTCTGCGGTGGCTGGAGAGCCAGGACCCCAATGAGGTGGGGCCACTGAGGCTGGTACAGCTGCGCTCACTCATCAGCATGGCTCGGAGGTTGGGGGGCATTGAACCTTCCCCAGCAGTTTCAGATGACAGTGTGTGACCACACTGACCCAATGGCCTTTTTCCTGTACTCTGAAGGAGAGGCATGCACAGTCTCACATCTCCCTCCCTCTCTTCTCCCTGAGGTGGCCCACCACATGGGCCCAGGGGTTATTGGGTCCAAGCCCAGTCCAGCTTGGAGGGGGTCCTTTGATGAAGTGATGTCCTGCCCCATGGTCCACAGTCTTCTGGGGGGATACCAAAAGAGAGGCCTCAGCTCACACTCTTCCCTGAGCAGTCATATATGTGGGGTTCCCCCTAAACATGCTGGGCACCCAGTCACAGCATCTGAGAGCAGTTGACTGTGCTCTTGCTCTGGCCCCTGTGGGGCTCACACCTTCCTCTCCCCAGCAGGTTATATGTGCACTGGATGAGGCCTCTGCGCCATCGTTCTGCAGCCCTGGTGCTACTTGGTCCTATCATCTCAGTGGAGAAGTAAACCACTTGTTTGCTCTTTTTTTTTTTAAACACATTGAATCTGAATCTGTTTTTAAAGGTGCTCTTCAGAGGGGACAGTGAGAACAAGGGCAGTATGAGATGGTCTCTGAGTTGCTCCTGCCCTTGCTCTGGAAACTACAGGTTCCCATCCTCCTGGATCAGAGCCCAGACCCAGTGCCCAGGAGGCCCAAGCCAGTTGCTCACAATGAAGTGGTAAGGGGAGGATGGACTCAGTACTGAGGTTCTGGATGCAGCAGGGAGTGTAGACTTCTGTTCCACTTGGATTCTAAGTCCTTAAGATTTCATTCTCAGCACATCTTTTATTCCATGGGTTTGGCAAGTGTTGAGATTTGGTCCCTGATTGATTCCCTCATTGACCCCAGAACACTGTCTAACCCCAGGGCTTGGATCCACATAACCTACCTCGGAACAGGCCTGGCACTGGCAGCCATCTGGGGACAATCCACAGTGCCTTAGTGCAACCCCCTTGGGCTCTTTTTGCCCCAGCCCCCCTCCCCAAATTTTTCCACTTCTTGATACTGCCAAGGGTGTGACAGAGGAGCTGCTTCTGGGTAGCTCAGTTTGAGAGTGTAGAAAGGGCCAGGTGACTGTCCATCACTCATGCCATTCTGTTGCTCTGTCCAGTTCTAGATTCAGAAGTCTCCCAATGGCCTAGGACTAAGAGGTGCCCATGCCTTTTGCTGCTTTGGCAGAGATGTTGCCCTGAACCCTCATGAGGAGTCTGGTGCCAGGGCTGAGGAGGACCCCATGTCCTCACCTGATGTCCTAGTAGTCTAAGCCTTGAACACAAAAACAGTTGGTGAGTGCAGGTGCCTGTGCACAGACATTATGTCCATGGACCAGAAGGGCTGTAACTGACAGTGGAGCAGTGGGAGGAAGTACCTCCCCAGAGCAGTTTCCACTCGGGTCTAAGAACAAACAGCTCCTTGGAACTGCCCCAGTCCAAAAAAAAAAAAGAACATGTGCTTGTGTGACACACACATGTAATATTATACATATCTCAAACCTGAGTGCAAGGGAAGGTATGAGAATCTGGGAGGAAGAGAATCAAAAGTCTACCTGTCTAGGTTTAGGCAGCAGCCTCCATCCATACCTGCTGAAGCTCATCTGGCCACCTCCATGTCCAACCTCCTGGAGCCTGCAGACCTAGAAACTCTTTGGTGGTCAGGGCTGGCTAAGGATCTCCAGCCTAAGTAGCTGGGACTGGGCCCCAGGAGATCTAAAGCATTTACACCAGAGCCTTCATATCTACCCAGCACCCAGACTAGGAGCTGGTACCCTGCTCCTCTGGCTCTGCCTCCAGGGCTCTGAGGAAAAGTGAACTTTGGATCAGGAGCATGGTGAGGACTGCACACCGGACCTTAGTGTGCATGCAGACTGGGTAGCCTCAAGTAGCAGCCCTCTTGCTGTCTAAGAAACCAGGGGTGAGACCTCTTACTTGTTCACCACCTGTCCCATGCCTCTTGAAAGGACACTCATGGCCTGGGAGGTGGTTCTGGTCTGTCCCTTTGGCACCAGATGACCACTCTATAAACAAGCTAAGTGCAGGCCGGCAGGGTTTTAGGGAGCTCTTTAGTGTCTGTCAAGTTGTGGATTTGTGTACTGACATTTGCTGGTCCATGAAACACCCCGAGAGGGCTCAGAAGGTGTTGCCTTGGGCCGGAGATGTTGCTCAGTGGAAGAGCATCTGCCTTGCGTACATGAAGCCCAGGGATGGATCCTCAGCACCACACACACACACACACAAAAAAAGTGTTTTTGTAAAATGGGATACACTGGTGTTCCTGTGGGCCATGGGCAGTTTCAGGTGGTTGTCGCCTGCTTGTGGAGAGAGCTGCTCTGCTCTGATCCCTGGCCCCATGGGCATCCACAGCTATGGGTCTCAGGGACCCCTGGGGCCTTGCAGTGGTGCACAGATGCTTAGCCCCAACCATAGCTCTACCACTGGCTCACAGCCACCCCATTTCTGGGTTTGGCTCTGTGGTAGGGATACCCCAGGGTTCATGGACCCCTTCAGGAGGGCTGCATATCCAGCTGGCCTGTGCCCCACTGCTGTTCGCTGTGGGCTTTCTGAGTTTGCCACCTCTGGCTTGAGATAACATGGCAAGTCACTGGGGAGCTTGAAGCTGCAGTTTCTCCTTGGCAGGTGGCAGCCCTTGGGCTGTGGTAATGCTGGCAGATAGCAGCTTCTGCTTCAGGGTCATTAACAAAGTTCCTGGGCTGGGGAAGGGAAGGCATTGTGAATAAAAAGGCAAATGCAGGTTGTTGAAGCCATCACCAAACCACTGTTTTCTGGGGAAGGATATGGCTGAAGCAGCCACAGGCGGTCTTCCCCCAGGCCTCTGCACACTTGGGAAGTGACTGCCTGAACATCAGTTGGGCTGTGGATGGAACAGCATGCTCGGAGAGGGAGAGAAGGGGGAGCTCCCTAAGCTGGGGACATGGTCCTCCAGGAGCCTGGCAATCTGGCCCTCACTGGGTGTGCCCAAGGGTGACACCTGACCCCAGCAGTGTGTCCTCAAGAAGACCGTAGGCATGTGAGGTTCACGCAGTGTCCAGGGACCTTCCTCTAGCACTCAGCCCACTCACAACTGAGTGCTCACGGCCACATAGCCCAATGGCACTTGTGTAATAAATATGGAACATGTCAACTTCATGAGCACCTATTTCAGTCTTATTTTTGTAACTCTTGGTCCAATGCCTGAACCTGGAACACTGCACAGATTGGGAGGCATAAAAGTTGAGCAGTAGTGATTGAAGAGGGTACCCTGGTCACAGCCAGTTTCCATCTTGAAAAGCTGTAATTTTAGCCTGGCAGCATAAGGCAGAAGAGGATTAGATGGCATGATCACAACCCTGTTCCCCATCAAAGTTTCCCTTCTTGAATAACTAATGTGTCTTTGTTTTGGGCCATAGCTGGGCCTGGGGCTCCATCACAGCCTGCAAAAGTTCAGGACTGGGCAATGGAGAGGTGCTTTCCCTGCCGGGTCTCAGGCAGTGACAGGTGTTGGCTCATACAATAGTGATTCTCTTGGCAGGTGGCTCTTAGGTGGGCTGCCCAAGGAGTTCCTGCTCAGTGCAGCCTACAGAGTGTCGTGGAACCTCAACATGCCCAGGCTTGGTGTGCCCCTGATCAGGGCAGTGGGTGATCCTGTCTGTACAACCCACATGATAGTGACCTGTAGCTAGAATGGGACCCTCTGCCATCCACACTGCCTACACCTGCTCCTACTCTTGAGGTATGTCTTCAAAAGTTTCAGGCACTTGCAACTTGAATTTCTCAGCCTATAATCAAAGACCAGTTCACCCAGAGCTCTGAGATGTCCTTTATTCCCATTTCACAGATAAGGAAATCAGGCTGGCTCTTCTGACAAGTGAAAGCACCAGGGTCTGGCTAAGCAGTCACTGACCGAGAGCAGCCATCTTCTGGCTGGGAAAGGGGTTTGGTGGGAGGCCCTGGGCAGCAGTCTCGGGGAGAATGAGCGAGACAGTGTAGAGACAGGAGGCATGGCAGAGAATTACACACAGGGATGGAACATCCTGTCCCTGCTGCCTAAGTGCCACTAGCCCCGCTTCATAATATACCTGCCATCACCCAGCTAGCAGATGGCACTGTCAGAGCCACCCAAGCCAGGCATGCAGGTGCTTTTGCCCAGGCTCAAGAGGCGAGGAGTGGAAGCAAGGGAGAGTGCAGCACGCCCGAGTCTGTGTGGCAAGCCAGGCCCAGGAGAGCAGAGGCAGAGGGATGGGTGGTGCCCAGTGTAAGGATCAGAGCTGTATGTTGCTAGGCCAGACCCTCCCCACTCAGTGACCTCAGAGCCCCAGCCCTCAATCTCATGGCCTTGCTCCTCTCCTAGTCCTAGCTTTTCTGACTTGTGGTCCATCTTAAGGGACATACTTCAGAGTCGAATCCTGCAGAGGCCAGTGTAATGATGCCATGGCCACAGGACCTCCAAGACTTCTGACCCAAGAGGCCATCCCAGGGCCTGGCTCCACCTGACTATGTGCCAGGAGCTTAAGGTCCAAAGGAGGGAGAGGGCATCTGGCTGGCGGGGGGGGGGGGTCTCCTCTCCCAGACACTGAGCAGCCTCTCTGACTGCCCACTGCCCAAACACTGAGGTGGACCCAGCAGGCACACAGCCTTCCCAACAGCAGCAGGCCAAGCTCACTGGCTTTAGGGAGGGAAGGTGCATCTTGTGCAGACTCCATGGTCCTGTGCAGGTCCTGGAGCTGTGGTGACAGCACTGGCTGCACTGCTGAGAAATCTGAGGAGGCCAGCGCTCCAGACCACTCCCAGCCACTCTTGTTGCCAGCAGCTCTGCTCCTGGCCTCCAACCACCCCAAAATGCAGGCCCCTAAGAAAGAACATCACCCACTGTGGTGGGCTCATTAGGGGTAAGGTCACCACTATTACAGGTGGGAGATCCCCACAGGAGGGGCTGCACTTATCTCTGCATTTATACCTTGTGTGGGATGGAAAGAGAATTGTGGTCCTTAAGGGAAGGGAAAGGAGGGAACTGGGTGGGGTGGGTCTGGGCAGCAAGGAGGCCAGTGTGCCACAAAGGGCTGTTCTAGGCACTCAGGAGACTCAGGTGGGCAAGGAGCCATGGCCTCCTCTTGAGCTTGGGACCTATTTCCTGCTGAGCTCTTTCGCCCGGCAGGTGGCAGCTTCCACAGCACTCATAGTAGCTGCTCGCAGTCCACCTTGTTCCAAGGCGTGGAGCCCATAGATGGTGGTGCCAGCTGGTGTAAGCACATCTGTCCGTAGTTGGGCCGGGTGCTGTCCCTCCTGCTGCAGCAGCTTGGCTGTCCCCTGGGAAGAAAGACATTAGGGGTGGTCACTCAAGAGAGGTGGGGTAGCTACATGTTTCCCCAACCTTGGCCTGGGATTGCAGGCCTGCTTCCTCCCTGGCCACTGGAGATGGTACAGGTTGGACCTTTCCACCCTTCCCCTGGGAAGACCCTCACTCACCAGCAGGGTCTGGGCAGCAACGCGGTGAGCCAGAGCACTGGGCATACCCATCTTGATGGCGCCTTCAGCCAGGGCCTCAGAGAATGTGCACACCTATAGCAGCGGCATGGTGGAAGGGTAACATCAATGCTGACACTGCCCAGACATAGCTCCCGGCCTTGAGAAGCCTCAGAAGCTTCAGGAACAAGGCCTGGAGCATTACCATGCACGCCCAGAGCCAAGATCATCCCCAAAGGCCACCAAAGCACAAAGTTTGGAGAGGGAGAAGGGCTAATGGGAGGTTTGGAGCCAGTACTTGAGGCCCCAAGGCTAGACTCCTGAGGGCACAGGTATCATGTGAAACTGGGAGGGCCTCTTTTGGCTGAGGGCTTACCTGCTGGGGGGGGGGGGGTATGGGCAACTCAATACTCACAAAGGCTACACCACTGCCACTGAGGCCAGTGTGGATGTCCACATAAGCCTCAGGCACCTCCTCACACTGCCCACAGGCTTCCAGCAGATTTCGCAGGAGCTTGGCCTCCTCGCTCCCAGCATGGTGACCCCGTGCCATCACCATGGCCCCCTCCTGGACTATGCAGGGCAGATTGGGTGAGACTCGTAGCACTCGTGTGTTCGGGGGCAGCAGCTGGTCAGAGAGAGGTCAGAATCAGGCAGCCTGCAGGACAGGGCCCTGCCAGGCAATGTCTCAGGCAACTGTAGGCTCCAGTCCCCATGTCCCAGGCAGTGTCAAGAGGCTGTCTGCTCCTCCAGTCCGACCAGCACAGCCGAGGCTGTGGTCAAGGCCTCACCCACAAGTGTTGCTCACCTCCTCCAGGGTGCTCAGGGAGACCCCGGCAGCCACAGACACCAAGACATGCTCAGCAGTGACCACAGGAGCCACCTCTTTCAGGACAGCTGGCAGGACTTGGGGCTTGGTGGCAAAGATGACCAGCGAGCAACTCTGCAGCACTTCCTGGTTAGAGTGAGTGGTCTGGCAACCCAGAGCCTGCAGAGGGACACCAGGACCAGAGCTGCATGAGCGGGCACTCTACCACACCACAAGCTGCCCTGCATCCCATGAGTCCTCTCAGGCCTCTTTCACTTTAAGAATCTGCATTAGCCCTGCTCTCAATAGCCAAGACCACCCAACTGGCCCTGTTCTTCACAGACCCCCAAGCCTGCACCTTCCTGACCCCTCCATCCCAATGAATGCCCATGCCCAGCCCTGCCTACCCCAATAGAGCACGAATGTGTTCAACTTGTACCTGCGCCTCCCTCTACAACCTTGACTTTCCTCTTGGCCTTTGACCTCCCTTTCCCCAGCCACCCAGACAGTCTTAATAAGCTACACTTTCCTGAACCTAATGACTGTCTCAGGAGGACAAGTCGTCTGGGCCCTGCTCACCCGGAAGTGGCAGAGATTCCTGTCTGTTGGTGCACTGGCCAGCACCTGCTTAGCTTCCACTTTGCCTAGAGAGAAAGGCAGAGGTGGAGGCCACTGATGAGGAGGAGATGGAATGGCCTGGCAACCCGAAGTCAGGCTATCAAACCCACCTGATTCAACTCGGCAGTCACTGTCACCTGCCTGCTGCTGGACACAGGGGCCAGGAGTTTGTCTGGTCCTGTGAGGACACAGATGCTAGGGGCCCCAGCCTCCAGGGAAAGGATGGCTGCCTGGAGCACTTAGGTTGTTGGCCAAGGGACAGAACCCCAGAGGGAGCACCAGGTCTAGGGATGGGGTGGAGGAGTGGGTATGAAGCAGCTAACAGAAGGTTCAGCAGCAGCTGGGCTTCCTTGAAGGAAAGGAGTGTGCTAGGATGTCCTAGAGGAAGCTAAATGACCATTTGGTGGAAACTGTCTGCTTTTGTAGGATATAGGGATGAGAAAACTGAGCCAGATTTCTGTAAGGTGGAACAGGAAGACAGAAATGCACACCATGGCCCCTGGATGCAGGTGAACCATCAGGTTTTGCCTGAGACTGTGGTAAACTATTTTCTGATTGATTGTGACCTGTCTGGACTTTGAAGTATGGCTGAAGGCAGAGAGCCAAAGGTCACCAGATCCCTATCTGTAACTTACATGCAAAGGTTTCTAAATGCTGTGCAGTATAGGATTAGGGTGGCAGTAATGCCCCTACTATATACTATTGAGCCCAGCTGGGATGATATCCCTGGCCCAGAAGACACTGGTGTTGTCTAAAGACCAGCTGTCACAACTCAAAGGTAACTAGCATCTAGGGAGAAGAGGCCCAGAAGGCTACATGCCCTTGGATACACAGGAGAAATTATCTGGTCTAAATGTCCACAGTGCTGTCCACTATTGGATGTGGAGCCTGCACACAAATAGAAAAAAGAATTAGAAGCTCAGGAAGGCTACCTGGACCTAGGCCATGAGTCCAGGAAGCTGGCCATAGATGCCAGGGTAAGTCAACACTGTCCAGGAGAAATATGGTTCGAACCAAATGTGTAACTATAAATTCCCTAGCAGCCACTTAAAGACAATAAGAAACAGGTGAAGTTAATTGTATTCTTTACACCCAAAGTATACAAAGTCAAAGTCACAGCTGTACTGAGAAAAAAAAAAAAAAAAGCCTAAGGCGTGTTACTTTTTCTAACTCTTCCCAAGCCAGAATGTTCTTTATTCTGCTCATCCACACTCGCATCCAGAGGCTGGTTTCACACATGGCTCACGGCCAGGTCGGGCAG